CTAACCAATGATTTAGCTGCTGTTTGGGCGATAGCTCACTTGAGACCTACCTATCTCCCTAGCGACGATATGGTGTTCCAGTAATGAAACGTAACGGAATGGAGCAAATATTTAGAGTTGAGTGAAATAACGTGGCCCATACCTCTTTTTTTCTACACAAGAATTTAGTAAACGAGTTTCTCTTTCCCTCCCTCCCACTCCTTCCCTTTCTCTCTCTCTCTCCTCTCTATCTCTTTCTCTGTTTCTGTGTCAAAGATATAGGAGTATGTGAAATCTTATTGCAGGCTCTTGCTTACTTTCAAGTGGACGATTTATGATTGTTTGCTGTCATGTCTCTTACATATTTACGCAGTCGTGACTCTTCCAGTAAAGATCTTGGCAAAGCATGTCATAGGTTAGTTTCAAAAGAATAAAAAGCGCAAAGAGGCCTGAGTACAAGTCTTTTCAACCATGTTTTTAGAACACCACTGATCACCGCACTCGACCTCAACTGATATGTGAGAATACAAGAAACTAACTTCAATGAGTTCCCGCTGTTTAGCCAGCGATGTTAAGTCATGTGGCCTCGGTTTTCTTTTCAAAAAGAGGCGACGGTACCGATCTCTTAAACGACGCTACATTGGTTGGCGTTCTATTTTTTAGGGCTACCCCAACTCAATGCTAGTGAATTGTGTTTTTGTTGAATTGAATTAAGTAATATCACTTTTCATCTATCTCTGTCTCCACTTTTCGTCACATTACGAACAGTTTCAAAGATAATTTCTGCTTCATTGTGCAATTTTGTGCTTTTTTGGGTATCACGCTCTTTCGAATAGAATCTAATGTTTATTTATGCAGGTTGTAGAATTTGGAAAAGCATACTGAACAAAGTTATGGTTACAGCAGGGCAAGCGAAAAGTCCAAAATTTGCCAAAGTCAGTGGAGAAGTTTGTGAGGTGTTTTGAAGTTTGAAATAAGCGCTGAGTCCTTTTTGTTTGCATGTACCTGTCCGTCACAAAATGACGGGTCAAAAATAGGGGGTCAATCAGAAAGTCGTAAAAATTTTGGGCTTCAAAGGGGATGTCGTTTTTGAAATCCCGGAATTCAACCTCCTGCCAAGCCCTGCAACACGCTGCGATGGCAGTGCTTAGCTTCACGTACAGATGATGGAAGTATGAAGGCAGTCCTACTAAGAATCTGCTTATATAATGTGGGCGTTATAGCTGGCACTACGGTAGAAGCATGAGGTCACTTGTGATGGAGTATTGTTCATTTTTGCCATTCATTTTGGGTTCCCTTGATAGAATAAATGACGCTGCCAACTCTCTGCGAGCGAATACTCTACTTTTAAAGCTAAGACTGTACACCCAACAAGAAAACATTTTCGCAGTGATCAACTTTCTTATTTTTTCCTAACGGGGCTGTTATGCTTTCCCTTTTACTCGTTAGATGTTCGTGTACGCGTACATAGTGTGGCCGCCCGTTCTCGCCAATATAGGTAGCGTGGCAGTCTAGCATTCAAGCCCGTATACTGCTCCAGTTCTTACACAGTCTCCCTGTTTTCCGTAAGGGCAAATAACGCAGCATTTGAACGTGCAGGCGATATCGTATAATCTATGACGTATGAGTTAATTTCTGATGTTATTCCGCGGTATATTGGCGAGAACGACATTACGTTTCAGCTGCGCTCGCATCTAACGACTTCGTAGTGCGTGTGTTACCCTGTCTGAGACGAATGGTAAGCAGAGAGGAATTATGTTAGATCGTTATCAGATTGTGCAGTTGCCCTTCGAGTACGTGTAGATTTGGCCGAACAGTAGCCGTTTGAGGCTGCTGTCGCGGACGCCAGCACTCCAGACTTCTGTCGTTCACTCTCACCACTGCAGATGTTAGTCCCCGTTCGGAATATACTATGCAAGATAGCACGCTTAACGGCAATCGGGTGGGCGGACTTGGCATGTAAAAGGATGTTCTTACAGCTGTCTACAGCTACCATGTATGTATCGTGCCAACGGCCAACGGTCAGTTGTGTGTTGAGATAGGGCAACCAACCTTCGTTTGGTCTCTCTCTGGTGAATTTTATGTACTGGGATTGTTGATTTAATACTACAAAACACTAGTCCATTTCGAACTGAGTTGATGTAATTAACGGCCGTCTATGTATCTGCACTACATAAGTAGTTTCTAGATAACACCGGCTTCTCTATTTTGCTCAAAGCATCTAGCAACACGGGCGCTAATGCTGACCCATTGACATCTCTTACCTGTGAACAGAAGTCTCCAGACCACTTGTTACATTGCACTTGAGACACTCCCCTTCGAGAGTTATGAGTCGCGTCTAACTAAGTCCATACGTCGACATACTTGCACTGTGCTCATCAAGCATCTCGGAAAGACCCTCTAGTGCTTCGCTGTTGGAGACATTGGTGTACAACGACGACACGTGTAATGACTCTATGATGCAACTTTAGTCAAAATTTACGTCGCAGTCGGTCAAGAAATGTCTAGTGTTTATCAGATGTTAGGGAATTTTTCCGAGAAGTGGGCCGACAGTTTTGTTGAGAAACCATGATATCCTGTCAATTGGGCCGTTGATGCACCTGATAATTGATCGGATCTTGTATTCTGTGGCAGGCGCGCAACGTGTTTTGTGGGTTTTATTTTGTTCATTCAAAAGTCTCTCGAATTTTTATAAAGTGTAAATTTGATGTTAGACCGCAAACCAGCGCAGATTTGCTTGGGCTTTCTCTTAATCCTCTTCCAGCTTTCGTTGTTCATTAATCGTCTACATGCTCCTTCCCTCGTTTCATATTTGAGTAGAGAGGAGTATAACAAATGTTATTTCTGCTTGATAACCACGGCAGAGACATTCTGGTATAACTTTTTTATTTTTGGATGATCTTCTGGGCAGGTTGCATGTAACTCCTGCTCTATTGTTTGTGATGAATTTCGGAGCAATGGTCATGGCACGGCATCTTCTGAAGAAGATGAGAGGCTGTCACGTGACTGTTACTTTCTGGCGAAGTGCTAGAATTTCTTTGACTAATGAGAACAAATGTGGCTATACTTCACGAAGTATCTCATAGGCTGTCTGTTCATAAAACCTGGGCATGTTCAGTATATCTCAGAGCTTTCTTTTCCAAAACAGGTATGATAGATATATACTTTATTCGGCTTAACGTTTCGGCATCAGTGCCTTCTTCAAAGGCCTGAAAGTAAAGTAATTCACCTTTATCTCATGTGATTACTGCCCTTCAAAGTGATAGCAAAGGGTTTGAGCACACATTATGCTGTGCTGTACAGTAGAGAAGCAAAAATGATTAAGACGTCATCGAAACAAATTTTCGATGCAATCTATTAGCAATCGCTAAGGAGCTTGCCGTGAATGATCCTCAATGACACTAAACAGATGATCCAATAATTATTCTTTGCGTCACTAAAAAAAACACCACTTAACTCCTCTGGATAAAAGTATTGTCATCAAATCAACGATTCACTTCAGAAATCATAATCGGCTAAAAATCTGGCTGAAAGACGTTAACGAAACATTTTCCGTAACCAAATATACAGACGAAGATGATCAGAATGGAGTTCCGAATTATGAAGCATACAGAAACGCATGTGATCTAATGGCCCTAAAGAAATGAAAACAATGAGAACTAAAGGAAGTTGCTGCTCGCTTTTGTAGCGCAAAAAGCCGATTTGTTTTACCGTGTCTGCTGTGAGTTCAAAACAAGCATCATGCACGATGATTATAGCGTGGGCTTGCATTTACATGTTTAGACATAAATTCACAGCATGTTATCATGCATCTGCGATACATTATTTGAAAAACATACGATTTTTTGACATCTAACTTTTCGGTAACAAAATAGTCTTGAGCACTATATTTCAAAAATTCAATTCGGTTTGAGCATTGCAAAATTTAATTGATGGCAATGCGACTGGGGTAATTTAATGATTGTTGCGTGATTAAACAAAGACTTCCTCCACGTCGACTGGCAAAATGATCTGAAAGTTCCGAAAGCATCGTTAAATTGTTGTTCGACACACTTGGTCACAAGCAACGGACACACTTAGTCACGAGTTGCGGGCTGGTTCAAGGACTAACAAAATTTTTGTTACAATCTGTCAAAAGATTTTTTTTATCTAAATCTCCAAAGCTAATTACATACAAGCGATTAAAAGAAGCACTCGCATGTGACCGATACAGGGCAAATATGCTCTTAGTGCTGAAATGAATGTGGGCATGCAATGACTAGAAGAAAACCTCGAAGAAATAAGCATATTTAACGACAAATACTTGACATATACAGGGTGTCCCAAAAAATGTGAACACTGTTTGATCTTTAATAACTCCCTTGCTTTCATGTCTTTCGCCGAGCTTGAGACACCATTCTGTAGAGCGAGGTTCAACTCAGATTTATAGTATGGAGCGAATCATCGATCGCTTTTCATTACTGTAGGATTACGATAGAAACTTTGACGAGGATTTTAGGCCATTAGAGGCCATATTCTGCCTCGGAACAAAACAAAGCCAAAAGCTCCTATACTATGGTAATGGAATCCGGTGAGTTCGAATATGAAATTTCCACCGTACTGTGACGCTTCTTTCCGAAGTTATCCCAGGTAAACCGTAATAACAGAATTCCCAGCATTTGTCAAAAATGTGATTACCCCGTCATAAAAAGCTAGAAACTTGTAAAAAGTTGTGTAATGGATTCAGCGTGTGCGAAAACCCTAGCACACGATTTTTCAGATTTTTTGGAAAAAATTTTATCAAATGGCATATTTCACAGTGGATTCAAACGCTGGAAGTTCCTACCGTAATCCAACAGTAGCGAAGGGAGATCGGAGTTTTGCTTCATACTGTAAATCTAAGTTGAACCTCTGTCTACGAAATGGTGCCTAAAGCTCGGCGAAAGACATAAAAGCAATGGAGTTATTAACGATCAAACAGTGTTCACATTTTTTTTGGGACACTCTGTATACGTGTGATAATTTATACAAATATTCTGCAGATGGGGCGCAACCTAAAGATAAAAGATGCGATGCAGCGTGGAGAAGAACCTGGTACATCTTATGATCACAAAGAAGAAGATGCCCTAGAAAGAGAGAGTAGTGCGATTGATGTGATGCAAGTTGAATCCGCACCGAAGTTTCAAGCTATACAAAGTTTCGAGGCTACTAAAGCAGCGAAGCAAGGTACTTCACGAACGGCTACGCCAAAAGCAACAACGTCTACTTGCTACACGCAGCTTGGAGACGAGGCTTTCAAAGGTTGAAATTTGAATTAAAATTCAAGAGGCAATTCAAGGAATTAAGAAAATCACATACGAATAACTTTTACATGAATGTTATAGGTGGACCAGTGGATACAGTGTTTTAAAACTGCACCAAATGTCGAACTTAGTACTCTGCGTTGATACCACTGCTTAGCACCGGGATACTATGAAAAGGACTACATTGTGCCAAAGAAACAAAAGAAAAGTAAACATTGACTATTACTCGTGAATTATGCCATGACTATTAAATTACTGCACCTGATAATTCAGAATGGCAGGAAAAAGTGGAAATCGAATTGAAGTATTATCGTAAATTGGATGGAAGGAAGCATCCGTTGCTTAAAGAATTTGAAGAATATATTTCTGAAGCACTGGTAAACACTATGTTGAAGCCGTCGGTATGTTTACGGACAAGCGCTAACTCAAATTTCGTCTTTGTTTAGCCGGATGCTTTGGCAAGGAAAGGCAATCTATTAAAAAACGGTACATGGGGTTATGTGGCCTGTATAAATCGGTTTATGCTCGCAGCTATGAGAGCGCGAAAACGGTGCGTTGTTTCTCAGACTAAGAAGCTTTTTTTGGCATTCCGTATTTCCAGAATAAACCAAACAGTAACAGTCGACGATGCAATCTATTCGTGCGAATTTTTGGCATATATGAGGCGCTTAAAAACAGAAGGGTTAGTGTAAGCTCTCGTAAAAGTATGATAAAGCTCTTATTGCTTTCAATAAGTTCAGAGAGCAACGACTTGAACCAGGTGAGTGACGGACTCGATGCTTTTGATACTTTGGGCATTTTGTTACTGATTCATTTACAAGCCTTCGCTATCGATTTACAAGGATTTGACATGTTTGCAGTAGCCGGTCGTGAACGTCGCGAGGTTTTAAAACATGGCAAAAGACTATTTCTGAACTATACAGTGAGATTGAATGTCGAAGAAAAGCAAGCGCTATCGTTTCAGGGTATTGCACCCAGCGAAAAAAAAGTGTGTCAGTTTATCTGCTTTTTGTGACGTTATTTCATACATATAACTTGCAGAAAGGTGAACTTTACTGTGTTGCTAGAGCTGTGGTTGAGCATAAAGGAGTCGAAGAAACTGTAGAAAATAATGAAGATTTTTGAACAAAAAAAAGACTTTGCGGCCAGCACAATACAACTATGTTATGGGGTTTGTCTTTGTGCGCTTTTGCGTCGCTGATTTTTACGATAACATAATTCTAGTGCAACAATGCAATACAAGCAGGAATGAGTGTATCTACAGAATGATGTACGGAAGTACTTGTTGGTCCGAAGAAGAAGATGTAACTTCGGTGAATGAATGGGGCGAACAGGGCTCTAAGAGTTCGTCATGGATGAAATTGGAGAAAGGCTTTGGGTGAGTGCATCCGTTGTTGCACCATTGATCTACTGCATAGACTAATATTTACGTACATGTTTAGATCAGCAGCTATCCTGTCCCAAAAAACAGAGCTAGGGCTGCACAACAAAAGCTTCCATTTTATGGACAATATTTGTTCTTGATGAAGAGTCGAAAAAATGGATGATTATTATATAAAGTTATTACGGAATCAGTGAGTTAAAATTAAATCAAGCATACTTTTTACACACTAGCAGGCTGTTTGTCCTTTCTTGCAGCAATATTGAAAAGCAGCAGTTAGAAGGAATGACGGAGCCACTTGCACCGTTCTTTCTACAATATAGCGGAACGCGCGTACATAAGATGACCGTCCCTCATGTAACGAAACAGTTTTTGCGAGATAGTGGATTTGAAGATTGAAGCTTTCTTGTAACACGGTATGTTGCTAACACGGAGTCTGCGTCAAATTCGTACTCAAACTGCTCTCTATCGTTTGCGATTTTTTATGCTTCAGACAAGGCATGCTATAGCAGATTTGCAGTAGGACCATGATTATCAGCAAAAAATAGATGAAAAAGGATTGTGCAAATATGACAGGTATATCAAATTTAGCATAACTTACATCGAAATCTCTGCTACAGGACATTCGCAAGTAATGCAACTAGTAAACTATCAGAGACGGTACCTATACAGCTGCGCTTTCGGTTATGTAAAGATGCGGAATTTCGGACGAAAAGAGGCCGCTAAATATCTTGAACTAGTTCGAGAAGTAAAGAAAAAGTTCAATCTTGCGGAGAAGGTGTAACTGTGTCATCACAATTCTACATCTGCTAAACTCATCTTGCTGGGTTGTTTTAATTTGGAACGCCGTAAACATCTTGCCGATTTGGAAAAAGGAGATTTAGAAATGGATGACTTTGACGAGGATGATGTAGAAGAGGAAGGCGATGAGGAAGATGCAACAAGAATTTTTGTGGAAAAGAAAGGCAATTAGGAAGAAGCAACGAGAATTTTTGATGTCGCAGGAAATAAGGGAGATGGACAAACTAAACCAATCTTACGTGATGGTGAATTTGTGCATTTTATACGAAAATTAAGCTCATATATTTTAAATTATTAAATTTAGATACGAGACAACGAAGTTCGCAACCGCTTACGGAAACTGAGTCATCGCCACGAAAACGCCCGAGGGTGTCGTCACCAATAGAAGATGTGCCGGGAGAAAGCAAGCCGTTTGTTTTGATTATTCTACCGTATGCTTGCATTGCAGGCTTGATCAAAAGCTCTGTATTGGACTTAGAGGTGGAAAAGTCAGCTCGGAAGAAGGTGACATAGTGTCGTTGGTACTGCAAGCATCGTCGTTTACATCACTCAAGCAATTCGAACGACTTCCAATGGACAACGACGAGGGACTGGTGCAGCATATCGTATCGTTATAAAAGATGAAGACCACAAAGAAGAAGAAAAAGAGAAAGAAAAAAAATCAGTAAACTGAATTTCAAAATTACGGCGAAAATTAGCGAAGCAAGTACAGAGCCTATGATGAGTGACGTGACAAGAACGACTACGAGTTAAGCCGTCCGTGCCATCCGTGATGTAGCTGACACCACCAGATACACTATTTCCGATCTCGAAGGACGGTTTGAGCCTCTCGATCCAAGTTTGCGATACGAGATAGCTGGAAGCTGTGAAACACCTTACACGGGTGGTTTGACAAAGATGGAGATTGTACCCCAGCAGAATCATTTCCTACGTCGATGTCATGCACAGCCTGCACAGGTTGTGAATTCATTTGTTTAGTGGAAACGACAGCATGTTTAAGGACTTTCCGTGGCTTGAGGTGCGTGAGATGCCTACCATCAATGGACGAAGTGTTTACGCCAGAGTAGATATCGCTAAAGAAATGGCGGTTGCTGATTATCGTAAGAAAGGGCCTGAAATAAGAGAGACTTTTAATTTAACGATAATATTGTTTGTATCTAGTGGCTATCAAGGACTGGCGGAAGACGTAAAAAATTTTCTGATTAAACTTAATGAAAAGCAACGCCATAAAGTGATAAAGTATTGGCATGAATTTAGAAGAAGCGGTAGAGATTTTATCGTACTTGCACATTGCGACTCATACAAGGCAACAGTAACGCTTGGTCGACTTATCAACCAGTCGATAGAGCATGCAAACCTAGACCTACGTTGTATTCGCTTTGGCGAACGTCGTGTTCGATGGTTGCATTGTTTGGTAGCCAAAGCGATATCAAGGTAAGGTTGAGCAAAATCATCTCATACATAATGAAAAGTTCTGCGCAATGAAAATTTTACAGGCTGGTGAGCAGTTACTGTGGCGCTATGGGAGAAAGGAGAGAAATCCAAACATACAGTAAGTTTCGACCCGCTTTAGGCGGAAATTGGACTGGCGGGAGTCCGCCTTGCAACAGCTCGCGCCGTTTAGCAGCTACAATATATCCTATCGTGCTGAGAACCCATGCCTGTGTCTCTTCAATCTCCTTAGTCTTTGCTTGGCAAAATGCCAGCGCTATGCGCTCGCGAAGCCTCCAGCGATGCGCATGCGCTGCTCCACGCAGATTGTCTCGCCTAATCCGGGATGAAACCGACTGTACCTAGCTTTCCAGACAATTATCCGTGCATATGTCAAGTGTGCGATCCGGCTGCAGCAAAAGGTGAATATTAGTTATTTATATATTTTGTTCCATTGATAATTTTTGTATGCACACTGATTCACACAGCTCCGTATTCATTTTTACAATCGGCAAGACGCAGCATCCTTTTACAAAAAGTGTGGAATTTTGAGCGGTCTCTCTCAGAGGAGGATCTTAGCTTACATGAAAGGCCTGAATTCGACATTAGAGAACTTCTATTTCTGATGACACAGAAAGCGCGCGCAGTAGGTTTGCTGCTGGAAAGAATTCCTGCTGACGAGAGTTGCGTTTGCAATGAGCAGACGGACTGTTTTCACTAAAAGTGTAAGTATGCACTTTTACCCAGGTTTGGATATGACATTACATCGATGTATACAGGATGTGTTTCCGGACCCTGCCATGTTTCTGGTAAAGGTTGCATCTCCTTTGGCGCAGTTGCTACAAATAGCGACGGAAGCTGCTTTCAAACACATGAAATCAATTGTTCTTATTCTTCTCCAGGCTTTACCGTGCAAGAAGCAGAATTGGTATCCAAAAATATCAAAGGTTCTCAAAAAAACTCGAACGTGAATTATACCGCTGCAGACTCATAGAAGAAGGTAAAATTGCCGACAGCCGAAATGTGCGAGCGTTCTTTCGCTTTTGCAATCAAAATCTGAGGGTGTCAAATAGCATTGGCACTATATACGACTCAACCGGGCAGCCCTGCGCTTCTGATATGGAGAAAGCTGAGAGATTCGCCGAATTTTTCAAATCCGTTTATAAGGACCCAACAGCCTCGAATGGTGATTGTCCACGTTTTACAAATGCAAAGATTGATTATTTGGATATCACCACTGATACAGTATAAGTTTTGAGGCGACTCCCCCTTAGAAGATCCACATTCCCTGATAAACTCCCATATATTTTTCTTAGGAAAGCATCTTTAGGTATAGCTCCAGTACTAGCTTTGGTATTTCAAAGATTTCTTCTTCGTGCAGAAGCCCCTGCCTTATGGCGCACTGCAATTGTTAAGCCAATTTTCAAAAAGGGCTGCAAGGCTGAGGCCGGAAATTATAGGCCGATCTGTTTAACATCATCAGTGAGCAAAGTCTTTGAAAGAATAATTTGTAAACAGATTTGCGAATTTCTTACTAGAAACCATCTTGTGCACAAAGCACAACATGGATTTCTACCCAAAAGATCTACATTATCAGCTTCAATGTCAACGGCACCCTTGTGGCAGAGATCAGTCAATGAAAAAAGAGTTGTAACAGTCTGCTATATAGATTATAAGAAAGCCTTTGACTCCGTGCCCTTATCTCTTCTCTTTAAAAAATTAGAGGCTTACGGCATTGAAGGCTGTTTATTGCGATTCCTCAAAGCATCAATGCTTGAGCGTACGCAAAGAGTGCGGGTCAACGAATCGTTTTCTTCAATCTATACAACAGCAAGTGGTGTACCGCAGGGTACTTGCTTGGGGCCTTTGATGTTTTTGCTTTACATCAACGATCTGCCGTCATGCATTCCCCATGATGTACATTGCTCTATATATGCTGATGATACACAACTTTACTGCTACGACGACCCTGGTCTAATGCAGCGCGCCTTGGATGCGGTAGAGAGGTGGTCCGACAAATGGGAGCTTGACATTTCCGCGGAAAAAACCTTTATCATGGCTATTGGACGTGCACATCCTTAGTGTTCCTTTCGTATTGGGACACATGAGCTTCAAACAGTTAGCAGTGCCAGGGACCTTGGTGTGACCTACTCTGACAGCCTGAAGTTTGAGAAGTACATACGAGATATTGCCGTTGCCGCTCACGCCAGGTGCAATTACATCCTTCGTGGGTTCAAAACTACTAGTGTAAAAATTCTCTTTCGCCTTTTCGTCATCTATGTTCGTCCTCTTTTGGAATATTGCACTCCACTATGGTCTCCCTCTGAGAAAACCCTTACGGAAATTATTGAAAGAGTCCAGAGATCGTTCACTGTCAGACTTTTTGCCCGAGCTGGAATATTCCGATTGTCATACAAATCTAGGCTCTCTATTCTAGCCACTACTACTCTTGCGTTCAGAAGAACCCTTTATGACCAAAACCTTGTCTTCAAAATAATGACCAATAGGATTGAATTGGAACCGCAAGATTTTTTAAGTCTATCGAATTTCAACAATTACACTAGAGGACACATGTTCAGGCCATTTTTCGTTATGTTTGATGTTTTTATTTCTGTTCCCCGAATCAAGAATCAAGAAAAAAAACGTATCTACCTCCAGTGATCCTCTACCATTTTGTATTGCAACTCCCTCGAATTATCCTTTTTCTTTGTTACAGTTTTCTTCCTGTGGTGAATTCGACTTTTTTTCTTGGTGATCATTCCCCTTTTCCGAGGGTTTTATTGTACTCTTCCCTTCTTTTCATGTGTTATTGTCCTTTCGAAAACCTTTAAAACCTTTATTTTTCTCTCTGGGTTATGGCCAGCTAGCCTTTGCAGGCGGGCTCGCTGGCCCCCCAAACAGGGAGTATCGTTTTCGAAAGACGTATAAAATTTTGGTCGACCGCTGAAATTATTGATCCTCCTCGTCTAGAGTCATTTGGATGTCGACTTTATAGTTAAATAAAGTAAAAAATAAATAAAAAACCGCTGGTTATTTTGTTGGGCGCACGCCATCTTGAGTAAAGCGGTCATCGTTACGACTACTGCGTAGCAGTTGTGGGCGAAGAAGTTTACGCAGTGGTAAGCTGGATCGCATGCATTGCTTATGAAGGATTTCGTATGGTTTTGTTTGTAGGAATGTCAGGCGGAAGCCAGAGCTAACGAAATGCCATTGCACTTGGAGTTGTTAGAAGCTGGCACATATACCCGTCATTTTCCATCACTAACAATAGAGCCGTGGGAGACGATAAGCCGTAACCTAAGCTTCATGAACAAATTACGCAGCTCTTGCAAAATAAGCAGTCTCATAAGTACGCGTGCCTTGCAACCTGCACACTAGGTAGTTGTTTGTATTAGAAGCTGTTTGATATCTTATTTGTATCATATGGCTGTCTTTAGTGTGTCATACATTGTACCAAACTGAGTCTCACTTTCATATTCACCTCTTATGATCTCACATCAAACTGCAAGTCGGCAATAAATTTATATTAAACATGCGATCGAACAACTACTATCAAATTTTTCAGCACATTTCGTCTCAACTATGTGCCCTGAAGCTTACTTCATCCAAAAATGAGGCATATCGAAAGCAAGCATTAACCTTGTTCATTTGTACCACCTCAAAAAGAAAATTTATTGAAAATCCGAAAACCAGAAACTCCAGGGCCTCAATAAAACATTGTTCTAATAATAGTTCCATAAGACCAACACCTCCACGTCCACTCTCCATAATTCCAGAAAAAATTTAAAAATTGCGCACCCACCAAGATGGAAAAATAGAAAAAAGTCACAAACAAACCCCAAAATAATGCCTGAAGATTCGCTATATTGTAAGTCTGTTGAGAATAAATTAGACTCAAAATTTCATAACGGTAACATCACATCGAAATCACTTTTGAATCTAGGAAAAATTTTTGAAAATATCTCGATTATTAGAAAACCTGTTTGACATTGACCTCAGGTTTCAAAAACCTCACTAAAGCCTCTGACGCATCCTTAATTGCATCCGCTTATCTACTTAATACTCTCATGACTCTTACGATTTTTTGGAAAAATTTGAAATTTTTTCTAAATTTTCGTAACGTTTAATGTCTTCTAGGTACTCGAAAACCTATCTGATTTCTATTTTAAAAGTTTTTCAACCACTC